AAATTGCAATAAATTTAAAATCAAAATAACAATTAATATATACATTCATAAGGAAATCATAATAAAATATGTTTATTTAAAGATTATATATCCTAATCTTCACATAATCCGTAATTATGTTTTTGATATATTTGAATATCTAATATTAAATTTCTAAAGGATTCTCAAAATATTTTTTATAATAAATATTGTTTTTACGAATAATATTTTGTTTTGTTATAAAAAGTAATATTTGTTATTTTTCTAAATTATTTTTGTAATTAAATTACATAAATATTAATAATAATTTGTCTACACCATCAAATGAAAATAGTTATATAATCTTTTATTTAATATTACGTAATATATATATATATATATTTTGGTAATATTTTATGATGTGGGTGAACAAATTATTTTCGTATTTATGTAAACAAAACAATAAAATCTAAATTAGTTTAAAATTTGAGATACTATAATCCCAAAAATAAAACTAATTGGAAACTAATCGCAACAATCATTCTACATAAATGGCATATTCTTTACAACATTACTAAATCGCATTTACTGCATTATTCGTTTCCAATTATGATTACAAATCTTTGATTAATTTAATGGTATTAAACTCATATCTACATATACATTTTTACAGGTTTTATTTGCTTTTAATCATTTGGATCCGGGTTTTACCCGGTTTAAACCTATTCGGATCTAGAATAAGAGATTTAAGGAATATTTTAATAAAAACGACATTTAAGACTAAAGTGAACAGACAATGCGTGTTAATCGTAGTTCCTTAAATACGTCCCACATTAAATGGGTTCTATTCCTTGTGTATCAATAGTAGCATTAAAGATTTTCCGTTTACGAATCTGGCAAAAATCTCTGCTTAGTCCTCGATTTGTTTCTAAAATTAAATCTCCGAGATATTGGATAGCATTTAATTAATACTAAAGTATCATTTAATTCTACATATCTCTAACCAAAAAAACGTTATTGATATAGATAATTACACATATATTTATGTTTCCTTATTCCTTAACTTCTTCTCATATTAATAGGCTATATTACTCTTTATCTTGAGATGATTTTCGAATATTTATGCCATCCTAACTAATTACCATATATCATCTATATTCTCTTTATATTATGCAATAAAATATTTTTAAAACATAATTATGGCTAATTAAATTCTTTCCATTATATGGTTCCCTTCTCTAATTGAATCCATAATTCCCGCCCAAGAAAATCTCAACGATGATACCATAATTATATACTCTTCGATATTTTTCTTAACATTTGATTTTAAGAAACAAAGTTATGACTATAATTATTTTTTAATTCGGTTTAATGTGATTTCCTAAACTAATTACCACATTAATCGGCTCTATTCCTTTTAAATGGTTGCTTAGCTTTTTTGTAAGATTCTCTGCAAAACCAAATCATTTACAATCTTTTTCAAATAAATTTTGTTATATAACGATTTCCTAATCTTTCCTTAAACATATCCTAAACTTTCGTTGTATATAATATCTTTGATTTTCTACTTTCTCTCCAAGATATTATCAAACTACCTTAATAATAAACCTAGATGCCTACCTACCCTATAAATACCACAGTTTTACTCGATTAGAAGACTCATCAAACAAATACCTCTTCTTACCCATTCTAATCTTTATTTGTTATATGAACTTTCATTTTTCTGATTCATGAATTTAATAAACATTTGATGTCTTGCGTAGATAATCCTATACAAGATGAGCAACCCATTGATGATTGCCATTATCAAGAGCATATGCTTTAAATTTACGTCAGATTCTTTCATATGGTTAGTTTTTTTTATTCACCCTATTTTTTCTAGGTAAATCTTCATGTTTAATGATAATCTTAATATATATATAAGATAACTACAGTTTGATAGCATTGATTTTTAAAAAACTTAAAAGAAAAAATAAAAAACGAAAATACAAACTATAACCCAAATGTTTTGAATTCCACTCATGCTTACAAATGAGATCAACAATTTCATACATCCAAATTGTAAGACATATATAATTGATTGTAAATTTTATTACTGTAATAATTCTTATTAAAGTATACTTATTAAACTCATAAACTCTAATTTCTATAGTATATAGTATAAATGTGGATCCAAATATTTAAAATTTATTAAAAAATTAAATATTATAATTATTTAAACTTTTAAAAAAGTCTAACTTTATTAAACGTTTTAATTATTTATAATATTATAACTTTTATGAAGTTTCAAATATTATAAATATTTGAATTTTATAAGAATTTATAAGTAGTTTAAACATTATAAATATTTATAAAAGATATTAATACGAGACGGTATACTACGGGTGAAATCCTAGATATAACAATCAAAATACAATTATGAAGTTTGGGTCATATTAAAACTTTTATGAAGTTTCAAATATTAGAAATATTTGAACTTTATAAAAAAATTACAAAAATGATGTTTAATTTCACGGGACGGGGTTATATAGTGGGACGGATTTAGATCGATATTAATACGGGATGGTATATTACGGGTAAAATCCTAGAATTAGCGATCAAAATACAATTATACAATCTTAAACACTAAATAAAACAAATACAACTTAAATTTTGATTTTTTAGTTATAAAATATTGACATGCGGTTTACCATATATCTATAGATCATTCTAAAAAAATCATTTTTTTATTTAGGGAAAATATAGACCCGCGGTGTACCGCGGGTTAATATCTAGTTAATGATGTTTATGGAGTATTTAAATGATGTATAATATAAACAATCATCAACTCATGAAAGTTGAAATATTTGGATTTTGTAGTACTGTGTTGACAGCAACAAAAATTAATGGAGTACTTTGACAATTTTATAGACAGACACTTTTTAGTTATTTCGTTCCTTATATATTTCTTAAATTGTTATTATATGTTGTGAATAAATCAGGAAAACATCAAAATTATTTGGGTTGACAGTGCATTTCCATCAAAATAATATTGAATATAGAATTATTAAATCACAAATAAATAGGAAACTTCTTAAGTATATAGATGGGAGAAAACGAGGGAGAAGAAGAACATAAATTGGGAATATTGTTGATTTGGGCCTTTTTTGGTCCAAAATTTTGAGAAATGGAATGAATACCCATATTTACTCATTTAGGTATTTTGGGCTTCGTCAAAAGACTGTTTTGCCCCTGCCTATTCTTCTCCTTCTTTCTTCTCGACATTGACTCTGCGGCTCCTCCGACCAAAATTTTCGATTCCGACCACAACCTTCCCTGTCTCAGTCAAATCCATCAACACCATATTCGTGCTCCATCAACATCATATCTGTTACTTTCAACACCACACCTCTTTTGTTTCCGAACACACAAATCCGAAACACAAAACCTCCGCCGCTAACATCTTTTCCGATCCCATGAATTCAATCAATTGTGTTTTGAATAAAGAAGCTAAACCCTAGGGGATACTATCTAGTAAACCCAAGGGTTCAAATCGAAACATAAATCAAATCAAAACTACTTAATCTATCTTTAAATCTAAACAAAATTTGTCATTAGATCTCATCATCTCCTCATCCGTCACTGGATCTCATCATCATCACCACCATTTTGTTTACAGTGTCTTCATCTTCGTCTCATCTCTTGACCAACACCACCGGATTTTGATCGACACCATCATCTCTGACATTTCTCACAAAAACACACAAAACTGTGGGTAAGGGTAATGTAGACATTTCAAGTCAGGAAAAAATGCCTAAAACCAAAGACTTGGCAGATGTACCGGATGTCGTAAGTTTTGCTGAGAAAAAGCCCATTCCGGTAATTAAATCAACATAAATTAGAAGGTGGTCTAAATAATTATTTTCTAGGAAAAGTTTTTTAAATTAGAAATTTTATATGATTAATGATTAGTATTATATTGAAACAACTGTCTTTTTTGGTGTTACATACTTACATGATGGTGATGGTGATGGTGGTGTGTGGTGTGATTATGTGAAGGACACCAACTTTTTGGAATTTTAAATTTTCATGCAAAGTTGTCGTTTTAAAGATTATAATATCTTTGTTTTTATTTTTCTTTCTTCATTTAAAAATTGTTGCAAGCTTTATCAACTTGCAACTTGCAAGGACAAATCTTACCAAAAAAAAAAAACTTGCAAGGACAAATTTTTATTCGATTATTGATCAAGGTTTTCTTCTTACCTAATTTTGTTATACACACCATTAATACATATTTCATACCGTTCATCTCTGATCGTTTTATGATTATGATACAAAAATACATTTGTAATCGGAAATTCAACAATTTTTACGTTCACGCATTTTTGTAATTTTTAGAAATTTTGAGAAATATCTTTTCTAGTGTGTCCTTTTTAGAAATGAGTTTTTAAAAATGACTCTTTCCGCTGTCCTCATTTTTAAAAATGTCTTTTACTAAATCTGAAAAATCTATAAAGTCTTATAAGGTTTGTAAGGTGCTTCTAGATAGTAATACTATTCGGAAATTCGATCCAAGTATTTATATAGTTTTACAAAATATTTTAAAGGTTTTACAAAATATTTATAAGATATTTATAAGATTTTTATAAGGTTTTACATACATATAAAGATAGATTATGTATGCATTTATAAGATTATACAAATATTTATGTAGATCTCCAATTTCTTTTATTAAGTTATTGGAAAGAGACATTTTTTAAATACGGTATTAGAAAAAGAACTTTTTTGAAATTTCATAATAATTTTGCAAAATTGTAAAAGTTGATCAATGTAATGATCATTACATAAATAGTTGACTATTTCGTAATATTGTATATTTTTTAAGAGCATTTTCAAGCTGTGAAACAGATGTAAATAGACATGACGTGTGTAAGAGTATATAACTGCTTAATTCAATCCAAATAAAAAAAAAAAATCTCTTCTCAAGTCCTCTTCAACATTTTGACAAAACTATATAAAACAAATAAAAGGGTTTCTACAAAGAAGACCCTTCCAAAAGGCAACTTTTGCTAATTTATACATTATATTTAAAAAAAATTAAAAGTAGATTTGGACTTTTCGTCGCGAAAACTTCGATATAACATATTATTTACCAAAATTTTACAAACTTATACGTCAGTGAAAAATAGTTATATTGCATAATATTTTGACTTCCTATGATTAATCAGCATTTTTAGAAGTAAATGGTAAATTTTTAGAAATTAGCGATTTTAAAGATTTTTGGTGTGTTTGCAAATTGTAAGTTAAAGTAATAAAGTATCAAACCGGGCCAAAATCTATGGACAGACGAATATGAGATGGTTAGGTGGTACGTTATATGATCATATTTATATCTATCACTTTCGTAGGTAAATAGAGAAAGCATGATGGTATTGAGAAGCATGCATAGTCACAAGATGGACAAAGTGATTTATGGTGTGGATGACTCGCAATTGGTTGAGGTGGTGGAAAGACTTAGAACATGGCCTTCTTTTTCTTCATCAATACAATGAAACTAGTGCTCTGTCTCCATAGGATTAATTGAAGTGTGACAAAAAGTCTTCTTCAGTGTAGAAATAACTCTCTTCATTTAACAAGTTGATACAGTTTCATAATATAATAAACAGAGGGAAAAAAAAAGAAAAGACGAAGAACAGATTCGATGATGAAAAATAAAAACAATCCTCAGTCTTTCGTACTGTTTTCATTTCTCATTTCATCATTTTTTGTATTCTTCAGCTACGGCACTTCTTTGATTTCTACAGAACCTTTTACCATCTCTAGCAACAAAACCATTGTGTCTCATAATGAGGTCTTCGAGCTTGGTATCTTCAAACCTGAGTACAGTTCCCCGGATGAGGATCGTTGGTATCTCGGTATTTGGTATAAGAAAATCTCCGAAAGAACCTATGTATGGGTTGCAAACAGAGACAACCCTCTCTCCAATCCTATAGGAACCATCCGCGTGTGGAATTCCAACATCCTTCTCTCTGACCAATCGAATACTGTTGTTTGGTCGACGAGTATTACGGAGGAAAGTGAGAGATCTTCGATTGTGGCAGAGCTTCTCAACGAAGGAAATCTCGTGCTGAGACAATCCAATAACAAAGATGGTGGTAATAAGGTTTTGTGGCAAAGTTTCGATTTTCCAACAAACACTTTACTTCCAGGGATGAAACTCGGTTGGAAGCTCAGAACGGGGCGTTATAGTTTCCTGACCTCTTGGAAAGATCTAACTGATCCGTCAAGCGGCGAATTTACTTATCAAATCGAAGCTGCACGTAGAACTCGAGGCTTTCCAGCATTGTTCCTTTGGTCTGGTAGATCCAAAGTGAAACGGGTAAGTCCATGGGACGGCGTAGTATCTCTTGGCGTGCCACGAAACCAACCTTTGACGTATATAACGTTTACGTTAACAGCGAACAAGGAAGAGGTCTCGTTTTCATTCCAGACGTCGGATAGTAAATACACATCCAGACTGACATTGACCTCCGTACAACAGCTTATGTGGAATGAAACATCCTTGAAATGGGACCTGTTGTGGCATTCTGTGGCTGAGGAATGCGATATCTATGGAATTTGCGGCCCTTACAGCTACTGTGACATATTAATGGCGTGTAAGTGTATGCGATGTTTTGAGCCCAAGGACCAGGAAGCATGGGCCTTGGAAAACAAGGGAGATGGGTGTGTGAGGAAAGCCCCACTGAGCTGCAGTGATGACAAGCTTATTGCAACACCTACTGGTAATTAAATTTGCTACGACCTTTTATCTTTTTATTTTATTTTATATACAATGTATTAAGAGCAACGTTCGTATTAAATTTGTTCATGTACAGAAAATATGTCTGGAGAAAACATAGTGGAGAATACGGAACTTCCATTGTTGAGTTTCGAAACCATATCCCGTGCCACAGATGATTTCTCTGTTTTTAATAAGCTTGGAGAAGGTGGTTTCGGTGTCGTGTACAAGGTACCGGATCAATTATATAAAGTACCGACACAAATTTGTATTGAAAAGAAGAAACATCAGACTAGTTTTTATATAACTTAAACAGGGAATACTTGACGGTCAAAAAATTGCTGTGAAAAGACTGTCAAATACGTCAGATCAAGGCACTGATGAGTTTAAGAACGAACTCAAACTGATCACCAAGGTAGAACACCTAAACCTGGTTAAGATTTTCGGTTATTGCATTAATGGGGAGGAGAAGTTGTTAATATATGACTACTTGGAGAACCGAAGCCTCGATCTCTATCTCTTTGGTGAGTTTTTTGTTTTGTTTATGTTATAACAGTTCAATGTCTTCTATGACAAGGACACTAATCTGATCAAGAGTTTTTTTATAATCTATTTGTAGACGAAACCCAAAGTGATAAGCTAAATTGGCCCAAGAGATTTGAAATTGTCATAGGTGTTGCTCGTGGACTCTTATATCTTCACGAATATTCGGGAACTCTGATCATACATAGGGACCTTAAACCAAGCAACGTCTTGCTTGATAAAGATATGATCCCGAAGATCTCGAGCGCGGATCTTTGAAAGGGGCAATAACAATGTTGAGACGAAACGTGTGGTCGGAACGCGGTAAGCGCAGTCAAAAAGATTATCATCATCATCTTTCGATTTATAACTTTGATGTTTAATCGTGTTATTTTAATTATGCAGTGGCTACATGTCTCCGGAATACTCGGAAGAGGGGACATACTCGGTGAAGTCAGATGTTTACAGTTTCGGGGTATTGGTTCTTGAGATCTTATCCGGTAAGAGAAACAGAGGATTCGCCGAGGCAAACGATGGTCTCAGTCTTCTAAGCTACGTAAGTTGATTGATTTTAGAGTCGATCTTCTTCTGTTATAGTCAAAAGCAACTGAAAAGAAAAAGAAAAAAACATTCATAAATTTTACTAACAACTGCAGGCTTGGAAGAAATGGAGCAAGGGAGAGTGGGCATGTGTCATAGATCCCATGATAGATCCATCATCCGATGAAGTCAAACGGTGCTTCCAAATTGGACTACGGTGTGTTCAAGGTCGTCAAGAGGATAGACCAGTAATGTCTTCCGTCCTGTTGATGCTCCTAAGCCAAACGGAGATCATTCCGGAGCCAAATCCGCCAGGTTTTTATGGTGATCTCTGAAGCAATGCCGAGATCGGGGGTTTGCTTTTGACTTTTTTTTGGTACTGGTTCTCCGGTTAATTTTAATTGTCGGTTAAAGATGATGATTTAAATGGGAATCGTTGAATTTTAATGTAATGAGTTTAATAATCTGAAAGAGTATTTTCTGAAGGCCTTTTAACAAACAAAAAAAAAAAGAAAAAGAAGAAGAGAGTATTTTCTGAATACATAATGAGATTCAAATTTTGTGCATTGCTCTTCCGGTGGCGGTGAGGGTTCTGATCTGGTGTAGCTGCCTCAAAACCGTGGGTCTCGTGTTTGCTGGAATTCCTACCTTTTCTCTGCATCCGTCGATCAGCAGGATCCGATCTTTCCTCCGGTGACGCAAAAGACATTTTCTAATTTCCCATTTTGTATCTGTTCTTCATGTTGTAATCTCAAGACTTTGGTCCAATTCTTGTTGCAAAGTCCAATTATTAATATATTTCTTAAAAAAAAAAAAAAAAAAAAAGAAGTAGAACTTGCAAAACTCAATGATAGGACTACTCACATATGAGCACAGTACACATGATCACAATAGAAGAAGAGGTCATGTGTTTGAATAGAGATTCACAAAGGGTTTAGAGAAATCTCTTAAACAAAACTATGAAAAGATGAACAACCTTAAAAACTAGAAAATCGCTCAAAATGTTGTGCCTCTTCAGCTAGAATACATAGAATATATATTTATATATAAAGAGTCGGAATACTACGATTTAGAAAAAAGAAGATCTACAAAAGCCAAACCGATCAGTGTAGAGACATAACCTTATGGAGTTTCACGAGACATTTCAATCATTTAAATTAAAATGGGTATATATATTAGATTTAGTTAGACCTTAGTAAAAACACATTATCATTAAAAAGTTACAAACAATTCAAGTTTTAATTGTTTCAAATTAACACCAGTGTTTGCTCTCAAAGTTTGGTGTTGATACCTGGGTTACCAAAAAAAAAAAAAAAAAAAAGTTTGGTGTTGATCTACTCGAAGCTACCGGACCATCCTCCGCCACTGGTTCTTTTACCAGGTCCATTAGCATCTCCCGTTCTTTTACTAATTGCTGCCACCGTTCAGCTCACGTTGCTTTTCAGAGATCTGTTCCGACGTTGAAGGCAATACGTTTTGGAGATCGCCTTCATCATTTTCCTCCGATACGGAGAGAACCATT